CATAGTTTTCAGAGACCACAAACGCCATCGCTACGGTAGAGCCGATCAGTGGGTTCAGAACTCAAAATTTGAGGAAGCTTTTCTGAATGCAAAAATGGAGTAATAGATCTCTTAAATAAAAGATAATTTTGCAGAGTGTTCACACTCATGGGTAGTTTATTTCAAATAGCAATTGCATTTACAGAATAGAACCGACGATATTAAACAGTACGTGCCAGATGCAGAAATTAGAAGACCTCACGGGGACTGTTACGTCGTGGGTGGATATGATGTCTTAAAGAAGTAAGTGGGTTAAATGTGTGATGATAAAAGAGTTTAAATAGCAAAAATAGTCCCTTTTGTAATCTACGGAACCATAAAGGATCAAGGCCCGTAAGCCGGCAACGTTGTTGGTAAGACAAATGCCGGTTTTCCGCGGCTAAAATTCTCTTGGTAAAAAAGTGTTGAACGGATTCTATTTTCTTCCGCTCAGAAGCACGCATGAGGCTAAATGAAAACGAACAATATTCCAGACCAGGTCTAACGTACATGTTGTAAAGGCGCATTCTGATATCCCTAGTTTTAAAGTTTCGGAGGATAAACCCGGTCGTTCTACGTGTTTTGGAGACTATCAAGGCACAGTGCTCCGAGAGATTGAGACTCTTGGAGTATGATACGCCCAGATCCTTAGTTACCCTGGGCACATTTATGGAGTGACCTTGAATATTTAGTTGAGGTTGGTGGTCGTCGCCAACCACCATGACTGAGCACTTATGCCAAGAAAGAGAAACGCGCCATGCGCGGCACCACTGGGCGAAAGCTTGTAGGTCGCTCTTTAGGAGCTCAAGCACGATGTCACGATCTGCCGGCTTATATCGATATGCAACTTTAAGATCATCGGCATACATGAAAGGCTTAACATTCTGAAATAAATCGGGTACATCATTAACGAAAAGGCAAAATAAAAGCGGGTCGAGTACACTACCCTGAATGACTCCACTCCTCACACGTGTGGGGTTGGAGAATCTGGGTTTGTAAAATCTGTCATATACAATCTTCCGCACTAATTTACAGTGACCCCATGCACTACCTTATGATTACGATTGAACTGTGACCCAATCACATTTTAAATGCCTGCAATTTTATATATATACATATATATAATGAGAAGAAAAGACGATCTCGGGAACCATAGCTTTACTGTCCTGACGTTTCAAAAGCTTACAAGCTTCCATCGTCGGAGGT